AGAAAGAAAGAAAGAAAGAAAGAAAGAAAGAAAGAAAGAAAGAAAGAAAGAAAGAAAGAAAGAAAGAAAGAAAGAAAAGAAGGGGGGAGGGAGAGAAGAAAGAAAGAAAGAAAGAAAAAGAAAGAAAGAAAAGGGAGGGAGGGAGAGAAGAAAGAAAGAAAGAAAGAAGGAAGGAAAGAGGGAGGGAAGAAATAAAGAGAAAGGAAAAAGGGAGGGAGGAAAGAAAAGAGGGGGAGAGAAGAGAAAGAGAAAAAGAAAAAGAAAGGGAAGAAAGAAAGAAAGAAAGAAAGAAAGAAAGAAGGAAAGGGAGGAAGGTAAGGAAGAAAAAAAAGATAGAGGGAAGGAGAGAAGAAAGAAAGAGAAAGAAAGAAAGAGAAAGAAAGAAGGAAGGTGGGAAGAGAAAGAAAAAGAAAGAAAGAAAAAGAAAAGAGAGGGAGAGAAGAAAGAAAGAAAGATAGAAAGAGAAGGAAAGGAAGGAAGGGAAGAAGGAAGGAAAGAAATAGGGAGGGAGAAGAAAAGAAAGGGAAGGAGGGAGAGAGAGAGGAAAGAAAGAAGAGGGGGAGAGAAGAGAGAAAGATAAAAAAGAAAAAGAAAGGGAAGAAAGAACAGAAAGAAAGGGAGGGAAGGAAGAAAGAAAAGATAAAGGGAAGGAGAGAAGAAAGAAAGAGAAAAAGAGGGAAGGTGGGAAGAGAAAAAGAAAGAAAGAAAAAGAAAAGAGGGAGAGAAGAAAGAAAGAGAAAAAAGGAAGGAAAGAAAGAAATAGGGAGGGAGAAGAAAGAAAGGGAGGAAAGAAAGAAAGAAGAGGGGGGAGAGAGAGAAAAATAAAAAAGAAAGAGGGAAGAAAGAAAGAAAGGAGAGGGAGGGAGAGAAGAAAGAAAGAGGGAAGGTGGGAAGAGAAAGGAAAAGAAAGAAAAAGAAAAGAGAGGGAGATAAGAAAGAAAGGAAGAGGGAGGGAAGAAAAAGAAAGAAGGAAGGAAAGAAAGAGGGAGGGAGAAGAAAGAAAGAAGGAAAAAATCGCTTCCATATTGTTCCCAAGAAAATTGCATAGCTTTTCTTCAGGAACTCAGAGCAATGGAAAAAAATGCCTAATTTATCCTGGATAAATTCCATTGCTCATATACCACCCTCTCCAAATTTTCTTGGTCTTGTTTCGGCATCTCTTAATTCCAATGTCAAGTTTGGCCATTCTCTGACCCCGGAATATTTTCTCGCCTGAAACGCCAGAAACTGTCAACGTAGCGAAGTCTCTCTTCCCCTCTGCACTCTTTTTTCTGCGTCTATTTCTAAATTACGAAACCTGCAAGGGATCGACAGCGTTCCTTCCTCCTAAAAGTGCCGGGGACGCAAATAGAACCGCAAATAAATAATGACCTAACCGATTTCTAAACAGACACACATAACCACAGAGTAAAGTCCCAAAGGAAGCTTTCCCAAACTACTAGGTATAAACCTACATATAAACCTGCAGTTTGATCCTGACCGGCTCAAGGTTGACTCAGCTTTCCATCCTTCCTTCCGAGTTCGGTAAAATGAGGACCCAGACTGTTGGGGGCAAGAGGCTGACGGTAAACCGCTTAGAGTGGGCTGTAAAGCAGTATATAACTCTTAACTGCTATTGTTGTCCTTTCCACTCATTGCCGACTGTCAGCAGTTCGATCCTGACCGGCTGAAGGATGACTCAACCTTCCATCCTTCCAGGTGGTTAAAATGAGACCCAGATTGAGGCTGACTGTAAACTGCTTAGAGTGGGCTGTAAAGCAGTATATAACTCTTAACTGCTATTGTTGTCCTATCCACTCATTGCCGACTGTCAGCAGTTCGATCCTGACCAGCTCAAGGATGAACTCAACCTTCCATCCTTCCAAAATAGACAGATAAGCAAACTGGAAAGAGAGAGACAAAGAAACAAAGAAC